GCAGACACACCACCAGCCGCAGAGGCAGCAGCGTCTCGGCCGGGGATCGGGATGAGCCCCGCTTTCCATCCTCATCCAGCTTGTTCCGCGGACGATTTCCGTCATTTTATTCATTCCTACACTATGCTGCCACTTCATCTCCCGCTTCCACCTCGTTTCAAGCTGTCCACTCTCCCTCAAGCGGGTCGGCTCCAGTACTTTCAGGCGTCATGGCACACTCTGACGACGGACCCTTGGGTGCTGGAGACCGTCGCTGGTTACCGCCTGGATCTGCTGTCTCCTCCGACTCAGCCGTCCGAACCACATCCTCACCGGTTGGACGCCTCTCTGACTCAGAAGCTAGACGAGGAGGTGTGCGAGATGGTTGCCAAGGGCGCCATTACGCAGATTCCGGAGAAAAGGGATTTCTCAGTCCATTTTTCGCTGTGCCGAAGGCGGATTCCATCAAAATCCGGTCGATTATCGACCTCCGAGCCCTGAACGACTGTCTGCAGTATCACCACTTCAAGATGGAGTCATTGAAGACAATGTCGGATCTCCTGCAGCCCGGCGATGTGATGATCAAGATAGATTTGAGAGATGCTTATTTCTCCATCCCAGTGGCTCGATCGTCTCGTCGTTTTCTCCAGTTTCGGTGGCATCACCGGCTTTACCGGTTCAACTGCCTACCGTTCGGCCTGAGCAGTGCTCCCAGAGTCTTCACCAAAACTCTGCATCCTCTGGTGACGATGGCACGTTCGCTCGGCGTCCGACTGGTGATTTACCTCGACGACTTATTAATCATGGCACAGCCAACGTCCGACCTGTTTCGCCATGTTGCTACCATTCTTCATCTGCTGATCGGTCTTGGGTTCGACATCAACTGGAAGAAGTCGCATCTGATTCCCACCAGGCAGATACAGTACCTGGGTATTCAGGTCAACTCCGTCACCATGGAGTTCTCATTGCCAGACACGAAAGCAGCCAAGCTTCAGCAACACTGTGCACGACTGCTGACTGCTCACACCGTATCTCTTCGGGACATTGCATCGATTATGGGCTTGCTGGTGTCCACTATGGTTGCCGTGGCTCCTGCTCCACTTCACTATCGTCGCCTGCTGTGTTTGAAGAACACGTTCCTACGACAGGGTCGCCCCTACACTTACCAGCTTGCCCTCAGCCCCGAGTGCCGTGCCGAGCTTCAATGGTGGATTCGGCATCTCCAGCTGTGGAATGGGCGACCCGTGCGCATTTCCGAGCCGGACCTAGTCATCCAGTCCGATGCATCCAGTGCGGGTCGTTCGGGGTGGGGTGCATGTTGCGGCAATGTCACCACCGGCGGCCGATGGACTTCTGCCGAGAAGCAGCTTCACATCAATGCCCTGGAACTGCTCGCAGCCCAGTATGCTGTCCAGTCCCTAGCGCCTTCTCTCTACCGGGGCAGCATTCTCCTGCAGCTCGACAACAGTGTGGCTGTTGCCTGTTTGCTCCGCAAGGGCAGCAATGCATCACCGACCTTAGACAGGATAGCCGCCACTCTGTGGGAGTGGTGTCTGCTCCGAGATATCACTTTGATTCCACAATATCTACCTGGTGCGGTGAATACAGTTGCCGATTATCACTCTCGCCATCACACCGATGCCAGCGACTGGATGCTCAACAGGTCAGTTTTCCAGGATCTCCAAATCATCTGGCCGAGTACCTGCGACCTGTTTGCATCTCGCACGAATTCTCAACTGCCCACGTATGTCAGTAGGCGCCCCGACCCATACGCACACCGCCTGAATGCCTTCAGTCTCGACTGGTCCTGCCTGCAAGCCTATGCCTTCCCTCCAATCTGTCTGATTGGCAAATGCCTGGCCAGAATTGTTCTACAGGAGGTCCCATCCATCGTCATGGTCACTCCGCTTTGGCCCGGTCAGGCTTGGTTTCCGGCTCTCTTAGCCCTAGTGGTAGACGTTCCGCGAGTGCTGCCAGCCTCTCCAGTCTTGTTGACGGGTCCAGATCACGAAGTTCACCCGTTGGTACAGTCCGGTCACCTCACCCTGGTCGCATGGAAACTCTCCGGGCTAGCTACAGCCGCCGCGGAGTTTCGGGCGACACTGCCAACCTACTCTTGGCGTCATGGCGTTCCGGCACCGAACGTGTGTATCAGTCGGCATGGAACAAATGGTGTGATTGGTGTCGCACACGGCAAATCGATTCCATGGATGCTCCTCTCGCAGAGGTCCTTAACTTTCTGACCTCCCAATTCCGTCTGGGCCGACAGTACCGTACGCTAGGGTGTTACCGGTCAGCCTTGTCTATGACGCTTCCTCCCATCGATGGCGTTGTGGTTGGTCAGCATCCCCTGGTGTCTCGTCTGCTCAAGGGTGCATACCAGTCCCGTCCGCCGCAGCCGCGCTATGGCAGCACGTGGAATGTACAGGCAGTCCTGGATCGGTTTCGGAACATGTCCTCCACGCCTGAGTCTCTCAAAGCACTGACTCTGCGGTTGACTATGCTGCTGGCTCTGACGGGTGCTCGGCGTTGCTCTGAGCTGCAGAAGCTCGATGTTCGTTTCATGGACATTACTGTCCATGCTGCTTCATTTGGGATTCCCACTCTTACCAAGAATCAGCGCGTCGGTGATCCAGCCAAGCAGTTTGTCTTCCCTGCTTACCCTCAGCACCCTCAGTTGTGTGTGGTGGATGCTCTGCGGCAGTATTCTGCTCGCACAGAGGGTTTCCGGCCGGCTGCCGCAACATCTGCTAACCCTCTGCTGCTGTCGTTCCGCCGTCCTCACAAGCCGGTCTCACCGAGCACCATTGCCAGGTGGCTCCTCACTTCCATGTCGGATGCTGGTGTGGATACCACTGTTTTCAAGGCGCATTCCACACGTAGTGCTGCTACCTCCTCTGCCCGTCGGAAGGGCGCCTCTGTACCCGAAATCCTCAGGGCCGCCGACTGGGCGCAATCCTCTACATTCCAGAGGTTTTATTCTCGTGATGTTCCACCCTCCTCCTCTGATGGCACCACCTTCGGTGCGGCTGTCCTTGGCTGACAGTCTGTTTTCCGCCGCTCATGATTACGGCCGATAGGGGCACCAGTATTTCCACTCTGGAGTTTGCATTGTCCGTTCTGCATAGTTGGCAATGCTAAGTTGTATTCCATTCAAGTTGGTATCTACTCCTCTCGCCGTTCCGTGCGTACAGTTTTCTGATAATTCCATCTGTTCTATCATTGGCCTGTGCCATAGTGTGGGCTGATTATGCTAGTTGATCATGCCAACCACTTTTTTCCAGAAATTTGTCTGGTTCCTTGTATGGCCGGTGTGATAGTTTCTTGTTTCCGCTCCAGGTGCGGAAACGACTTTAAACAAGACATAGTTATATCTCACCGGAAACTCCGACATGCAATTTCACAAGCAATGGAAAATTGTGTAGTGAAGTGGGAATTGTATAAGGAGTTGGAGGTGAGATATAACTATGTCCCTCCCACCCACCTCGTTTGGGTGTTCTCCATGAAAATAGGCCTGAAAGGGCCTTGGATGAGCTGCATCAAGTACAGCTTCATTAGAATATTTAACTTTAAAAACTTACTACTGCTGTGTTCGAGCATGAAATCGCGTAAATCGCGAGGGCTAGACATAGTTATATCTCACCTCCAACTCCCACTTCACTACACAATTTTCCATTGCTTGTGAAATGGGAAATTAGTGCTAAAGGTGTTACGTGTCTACAAAATTTAATCACGAAGTCATGTGCCTGTAAAATACACGGCGTTGCAACTCATCATGGCTTTAGCCGATTGTTGCCAAAAACCGGATATTTCCCGACATTATCCACAATGAAACTCGCTATGCCGCTCAAACCTCACAATGTGAGGTTATAATTTACAATGCTCGTCTTGTTCCTTTCTAATGCTCCATAACGCTCGGATAGTCTCATAAAGCCGAATATAATGCCGGCATTATATCCGCTGGACCCTACTTGGAGGAGACCATTGAAGTGTCCGTGATGCTCCCCTTCAACAAGAAGCGCTGAAAAATTGCATCTAATCATCATGACAAGTCAAGTGTACTTCGAAGAACATGACAAAATGTAACAAAGGTCATGTACATTGTACATGTACTACAGTAAATACAAATGTACATACATTGTTGGTTGACAGCATGCATGTGACAAGGCGGAGGACCACTGTGTTTCAAACAGTGACCTTACTACAACCGTCCACGGTTGGCAGAGCCCCAGTCTTGCGACCATTTGAACCGCCGGGCTCTGCCACCCGTGGATGGTTGTAGTAAGCATTGAGCATGCAATGATGCTATGGTAATTATTATGCACAAGAACTCGCTCATTTTGAGTTGCGATATCAGCAACTTTCGAGCATTTTCTGAAAATATGGATGCTTTTTCAGCAACTTTCGCTTGTTTTGGCATGGTTGCGAAAAAGTAAATTAGTTGCGAAATATTTTGGCATCTTTGGGAAAGGACTAGCAAGGCGACAAGTATGTACTTGAAGTTGAAGTACATGACAACTAAAATAATAATGTCATTATTTAGTTGAACAATGAAGTAGTATAGTACGTCTGCATCTGATGTCTGTTTCACCATGGCGACAGCGCTGACGACCCGGTTGCTAGGTGACACAAAGTGTGGAGCGAAAAGGGTAGTTCATGACCACTCAGACCAGATCATTAGATGTACCATTTCGGACGACTATCGCTAGCTAGCTGTCCATTTACACAATCTACATTCAGTCATTGTACATAGCCCTAGTGGAGCATATTTATGGAGCTGAGTGAACGGTTGAAGACCTGACATTCATCAGTGACAGGAACGACCCGTGAGAAACTGTTAGCGTTGTGGATGACAGCCAGTTAGCCTGGAAACGAGGCTCAGGAGACAGGTCGAACATTGTCCACAGCATCCAGGAGAGAGGAGCAGAGAACCATGTGTATGTCGTCGACGGGACCACTCTTTCTGTTTTACTCCATCAACGCCTGCTGAGTGCTCAGCCGTCAGTTTTCAATCACCAGGTCACTGCTTGGCGATATGCTGCGGCGAGTGCAGTCGTGCCGTCGTCCTACTGCCACTGACAGTACTGTGCTAATAGTTCTACGGTTAGTGCTAGGGCTAGGGCTAGTGTTGCCAAGGCTGCTGAGCGTGTCCTGTCATCATGGTCATTGGCATTGGGATCGTCGTGACTTGTTTTCTTTGCTTTTGGTTCGTACGAAAGTCTCAGCTAGCAGCGTGTTACGACCAGCAGACCTGGCGAAGCGTTTAGTGGTTTCCTTCCCGGAGCGGCACGCACTATCACTTGCAACGCCGGCAGACCAATAGGGTCGCTTGCTACCTAGCGGCTAAGCCAAATCTAGAGTTTTTAGTTGGTTTGAGGTTGCCAGTAGAACATATTTCGTGCGTGCATGCACTCGTTGCTACGTTTAGGTTCTTGCCAGCCAACTCAGAGCCGCACCAAGCGCAACCTTTTCGAGGAGCGGTGGAGTCGCTCCATCGAAAACAACGAGCACAAACTTGTAAGTAAACTGCTGTTGCTGTCGTCTTGTCCGAGGTAGATCTACGCCGTGTTGTCTGTGGACACCACTCACCAGTGCCGGCCCCGTGCCAGTGCAGTACTTAGCTTTGAGGTGTCCTGCTGACTCTCGGCTGTGTTACCGTGCGCCAGACTCAGAGAAGTGTCCGAGACCCCGCGTTGTGCATGCAGGGCAGGTTGGTTTCGCTCCATTGCGCCCTGACCGAGAACGCTGAGCACACCTTTCTGGCCGTGCCTCCACTGCTCCAGCCGTCCAACGCATTACGTGCAGGATAGCACTCCCACTTCTAGTGTCGGAGACGGAGTGGACATGAACGGACTGGCTTGTCTGTGATGCTGCTGACGGCTGATGGTGTAATAATTAGTGTTGTACTCATTGAATTGCCAGTGGTGTCCAGTTGAACAGCACCTGTTCAGGCAATACGTATGTACGTATGTACAGACAGTACATGCGGACTGTGGACTGTGTAGTCCCACTGATCATACTGTTACCACTAAGCTAGTAGTAGTACAAGCAAACAAGGCAGGGACAAGGCAGGGAGTAACTGAACAGTCACTGGTATCACTGGCACTGAGTCACGCAGTCCTAATGCCATCGTGCCTGTGAGTACAAGGACAGTGTACCATCGCTCACTGACAGAAACACAGAAGCGGAAATCAGCACCATCACCTTGCTGAGTAGTGTGTGAATACAGCCAGTACTCAGTAGGTGATTGTATGAGAGTATAGGTGTAGGGCAACGACGGGTGACGGTGGTGTCACGGGTAGTGGTCAGTATAGCTGTACCATAGCCAGCTTGAAGCCCTGTAGGCTGTATCCGCAGGTGCTGGCGCTGGTGTTGCCCACGCATACTTTCATCTAACACTGAGTGTTGAGGTAGACGTGAGGGACACTGCAGGCTGTGCACGTGTGTGTATGCCCTCTCTCTGCGCTCAGCACACACTCAGCAGTGTATGTGTACATGTATATCTGCTACAAGTAGGCGTGGCCAGCAGCATAACAACTGCCGGCGCTCATCTCTAGCAGGAGTCTTAAACACTGCTGCTACGCTGAGACAGTCGGATAGTTCGGTCTCTCCGGCTCCTAGTCTCTCCTGCCCCCCCCCCCCCCCCCCCCCCCGTTCACTGTCATAACATGATGTGTTGGCGCCTGTGAGCTGGTAGTAATCATCAACGGTCTAGGCTGGAGTACCTGCATACTTACACTTCTAGCACTGGCATCTGTACGGTATCCGCTGAAGGCACGGAGTGATGGAGAACTATGAGAACCTTGGCCTTGTGGGAGAAGGCTCCTACGGTATGGTGATGAAATGCCGGCACAAGCGAACCTCCCAGCTAGTCGCCATCAAGAAGTTCATCGAGAGTGAAGACGACCGGCAGGTGAAGAAGATCGCCTTGCGTGAAGTGCGCATGCTGAAGGTGAGCCCAGGAAAGGTCTCTCTGCGTTGGGTGTTAGCGTTAGTACACAACTTGAGCACCTGTGACATAATTTTCATTTGTATAATGACGTCATCAGGGATCTTCACAGACTGTACTGGTACATTGAATGCGGATGTGCACACTGCAATGTGTGTAGCACAGAATCAGTGTCAAGTTGTCATCACAGGTTAGGAGTTTGACCTGTATTATTTGCACCCCACACTCGGTGTGCTTGGCTCTATGCTACAGTGCCCGGGACACTGGTACTGTGGTAGGAAGTTTGCTACTACCGTGACGTAAACAGTTTTTAAGTAAAGCCTGCCCTGAGCGGACAACCTTGGTGCAGCAGAGACTGTCCTGATGTGACAGGATTCCGGTTGATCCATGGGATGCCCCGTGCGATTCACGGCACCGTTTGGTGCATGAAAATGTGTCCGGTCAATACAGGATTCCGCTTGTCACAGGGTCCAGCAAACACACGCTGTCACAGGGTCCAGCAAACACACGGCAAACACACTTGTCACACGCTGTATTGTAGTTCTTTATACAGTATACTGGTTGTATCTCAAGCGTGTGCACATTACACAGTACACAGTGCACAGTGTACTGTGTACTGTGTAATGTGTACTGTGCACTGTGCACTGACGTCAGGCATGCAAACACACATACTGACGTACATACTGGTGTGTCATCATGCTTGTTTGTGTCCAAACAGCAACTGCACCATGAGAATCTCGTCAATCTCATCGAGGTGTTCCGTCGCAAGAAGCGCCTGTTCCTGGTGTTTGAGTTTGTCGACCACACGGTCCTGGACGACCTGGAGCGCTGCCCGAACGGCTTGGATGCCACGACGGTGAAGTGCTGCCTGTGGCAAGTGCTGAAGGGCATTGACTTCTGCCATTCACATGCGGTATGCTACAGTAGGCTACAGTTGGTGATGTGCATGATGAACTGCTTAGATTTTTCACCGCGGCTTTGTGAACTATCAATACGTTTATGTATTGGTTAAATTTGGTTTTGATAGATCACCCTCTCTCAAGCAGAACGATTTGCTTGGGGCCTGAGATGCACACCCTCACGCTCTGTACAATGTCCAGCACTAGGATCATGCCACTAGTCTCCTCATCACGACCTGTGGACGTGGGGTGGAATTATTAGTATGTCTGTGATGGCTGCTTCTTCTCTGTACCAACAGATAATTCACAGGGATATAAAGCCGGAAAATATACTGGTGTCCAAGAATGGTGTTGTCAAGCTGTGCGATTTCGGTTTTGCCAGAAAGCTTGGTAAGTGTGTAGGCGGCACCAGCCACCGGACTGCTTTGGACCTGGAGACGTGGTTGAACGAAAAGCAAACAGTGCAAATGCTATACATCTACTTACTGCATTGTTTGCATGTCAGAGAGTCGGGAGAATAGATCCAAGACATCAGCACACACGTGGGAAATTGGGAAATGAGCTACACTGCATAGACTGCGGCAACATCAAACACAAATGTTCCTATCCAATCGGCGTCATCCTCCTAACAAGTTAGCCGTTGCTCGTTCAATTACATGCACTGCAACTTGGGCATGCTATGCTGTACTGTGGATGATCTGGATGGCGATGTTGCCTCAAGAGATTATGCGAATAGCTCTGCCACTGCATCTCACCTGATGATGTAATCATCTTACCTCTATTTGAACTTAGTACAGTTTGTGGTGGGCCAGAGTATATCAGAATGTGCTCCGGACACCGACGCATAATATCAGTGCATTATTTTTGCAAGGTTTAGGTATGCAACCGCTGAATGGTGTTCTAATTTCTTCGGGGTTGCATTTGTACATGTGTTCGCACGCACGTGTGTGCACACATGTGTACAGCTGGTCCTGGCGAAATCTACACTGACTATGTCGCAACTCGTTGGTATCGAGCACCGGAACTACTCGTTGGGGACACCAATTATGGAAGGTACAGTTCTATGAATGATGACGTAGTGCTCGAATAATGATGACGTAGTGCTCGAATAATGATGACGTCGTGCTCGAATAATGATGACGTCATGCCCACAACTGGCCCCTTTACTTAGATACTACTGGCATATACGATAAAACAGAAGATACTAATGCTTGCCTAGCCATACTGGGGTACTGCATCAACCACTGTGCTCATTGGAGCGGGGGTACTGCATCAACCACTGTGCTCATTGGAGCTAGGGAAGGGTGGGGGAGGTACTGCATGAACCACTCTGCTCATCATGTGGAGCTAAGGGAGGGGGGGGGGTATCAACCACTGTGCTCATTGGAACTGGGGGAGGGAGAGAGGGGGGGGGGGGAGGTATCAACCACTGTGCTCATTGGAACTGGGGGAGGGAGAGGGGGGGAGGTATCAACCACTGTGCTCATTGGAACTGGGGGAGGGAGAGGGGAGGGGGGGGGGGGGGGGAGCACTGTGGACAGTAAAACCTGCCCTACCTGGACGCCCTTTGGTGCAGCGGAAACTGTCCTGACATGACAGAATTCCAGGGATGCACGTTTGATCCACAGCACTTTGGTGCGTGACAAATTTGTCCGATCAATACAGGATTCCGCCTGGTACAGGGGTCTGGCAAACACGGGTTTTGCTCTATTGTGAAACTGACTGGTTTGTGCATACAGTGATCTGCTCAATGTCGTCATCCCCCCCCCCCCCCCACACACACACAATGTGCTTTGCACTATCATCACGTGCATGCTCCAAGGAACATGATCATACCACGCAATGCAGGGAGAACCGTGGTGGCTCATATCCAAATTGGAAACTGAAAATGGCCCAGTCAATTCTATTCCTGAAAACCGGTGGCACATTGAAACGGGACCTCTGTCTGTTGTTAGCGTGCACCTGTCAGGACCGCGGGAAGCAGTTTTCATTTGGCCCGGTCGTACCACATTCATACTTTGTGTATAATATGGCGGGACGTACCTGACCAACCGGACCGGTTCCGGCGGGCCTGCTTGTAGTACGTAGATGTAGATTTACAACAGAGATGGTGTGTACATGTATATTACGGTCAATGTCATGCTGTGTTGTGTTGTGCTGTGTTGTACTATGAATGGTCGGTTGGCTTGGTTACAGAGCAGTAGACGTGTGGGCTGTGGGGTGCCTGGCTGCGGAGATGATGACGGGAGAGCCACTATTCCCCGGCGACTCTGACATTGACCAGCTCTACTTGATTATCAAATGCCTTGGTAAGGAGTATGTACAGTGGGAAGTATGTAATGTTACAGGGGGGGGGTTGTAAAATAGGAAGTATGCCGTACTGGTGCAGGGGGGGGGGGCTGCAATGATGTCATGACTAACATAGTTGTGATAGACGATGATGTCATACAAAGTGTGCAATCAGAACTGGCAATGTTTTGACTCTACCCTGGCCCGCAGTGCTAGTACAAGCTAAGAGCACTGTCACTGGCACGACTAGACATGTACTAGCGTAAGAAGTAGCCGAGTGGAGGCACGGTGCTTAACACTAATTAACTTTTATTTAAACTTCCTCAGGTACACACCTGGAGTATTATGTAAGAAAGAGAAGCGGCAATAAAAAGAACTTTCTCCGGTACACACCTGGATGTTGAACAGCTCTTCTGCTCGGCTTTGTTGTTGTTATAAATTCAATGAAATCAGTAATTCGCAGCAGCTTTTTAAAAGGCAACAGACTCCGTACGCTAACGTACGGGGATATGCTAAATATACGGTATAGTAGTAATCAGCTACAATCAAGCAAGACAGGCAGGGATCCTACACTAGTATCCATAGTTCATCAGCATTGTAACCGTGCCCCTGCGTTAGTTCATCAGCATTGTAACCGTGCCCCTGCGTTAGTTCATCATCATCATTGCTGTGTCTCTGCACTCTATATCTACCCATCTACCCGCCATAGGTAACCTTACCTCCCGCCATCGCGAAATCTTCAATCGCAACGCCATATTCGCGGGAATGCGGTTACCGGAAGTGCGTGCTCTGGAGCCCCTTGAGCGTCGCTATCCTCGATTGCCCATTCCCATGCTGGACTTGATGAAGGTAGGCCACAGTGGTAGCATGCTATCAGCAATCTGCGCTGCTTCTACGCACTCTTTACGCACTACGATGTACAGTGTTGTGTCTGTGGAGGTGATGCCTGCACTCCCTGCATCTCGCCATATAAGGCATGATGCCTGCAGCTTATTTTTCCAACCTATGAATTTGGTATGTTTTATGCTATTGTAGGCAGAGCATAGGCTGCTCGATAGTACCAAAAGTAAATATATTACTACTCTCATTGTTGTGTATTTGTGGCCACTGTTGTTTTCTAACCTGTAGGGTTGTCTAAGAATGGACACGACTGAGAGACCGTCTTGTGCCAAGCTACTGGATCATCACTATTTCAGCATGGACGGCTTCCAGGACAAGGTGCTGCATGACCTGCAGGCGAGAATACGAAAGGAGTTTGACGAGAATCCGCTGCTGGTCGAGGTACGTCCGGTGTGAAATCACTACATCACTACTAGTCTAGTATCCGCTGTGACATCACTACTAGTCTAGTATTCTGAATCGGTACCTCTGTGTTTGATGAACATATGATACATGAACTCAGGACAATGCATAACTGCCCCCCCCCCCTCTCTCTCCACTCCACTCCAAAACCTCTAGCTGGCACCTCATTTTAAGATTTGACTTGGCCAAAATATACTGTAGTCCAGGCCCTGTCCGATGCAACAGCAGCTGCCTGGCTCGTTTACAAAACAAAGCGTGCAAGAAGAAGGGTATTCCCCAGGGACTAATTCCTTACCCCAGGGACTAATTCCTTACAAGGGTATTATTCCCCAGGGACTAATTCCTTACAATATGTTACTGCAAACACCGGTACATACAATGAAGCGTGTGTGCACACATACATGCGCGTGTGTGTGTGTGTGTGTGTGTGTGTGTGTGTGTGTGTGTGTGTGTATGTGTGTGTGTGTGTGTGTGTGTATGTTGTGTGTATGTGTGTGTGTGTGTGTGTGTGTGTGTGTGTGTATGTATGTGTGTGTGTTTGTGTGTGTGTGTGTGTGTGTGTGTGTGTGTGTGTGTGTGTGTGTGTGTGTGTGTGTATGTGTGGGCAGGGGCAACTGCAGTTGGATCCCGGGACGGATACCTGATTCCGTCAATCCTTTTTCTGCACCTTGTCCTCACCCACTTACTGAGGTGTGGTGAGCCCATAAGTGGGATCATTTTCAAGTCCACCCAGAGTTTTGGGGATTTCAGGGGGTGTCGGCCGTTGGGCGGTTCAATAACCAATTGAGTCATCTTTCCAAGATTCCTTTTGAGTCTCTCTCCCCTCTCCCGGGGGGACTCACGTGACCAGTTCTGGCAGTGAGCAACAAGTACAGTACAGTACAGTGTATGTGTGTGTGTGTGTGTGTGTGTGTGTGTGTGCTTGTTTGCGTTTAGATGGGCATTGTGCCGCAGGGTGACAGCTTTAAGGGCCCAGGAAAGCAAGGTGATGCTCCAGCCAGTAAGAAGGAGACAACAGGCGGCGGAGGCGGTGGCGGTGGTAGAAGCAAACGTGCTGCAGCAGCGGCAGTAGCAGGTGCCGGAGCAATGGCGGCGGCAGCTGCTACGTCACATGACACCTCATCGAGCCTGCCGCCAACGCACGGGGCGTTTGCCGCAGCAGCAGCTGCGTCGTTCGAGTCACCACAGGTCCACCGATCTCATCATGATTCCGGTGCGGTAGCAGCCGCACCCGAAAAGAAGGTCAAAAAAGTGAAAAAGGTACCGTGGTCCCTTTATAACCTGATTAATGCGGCCGTTGACCAGGCAGTGACCACCGTGACCATCTGACCACCGTGACCACCGTGACCATCTGACCATCTGTGCTCTGGAAATTGTGCTAGTTGTTAGAGGGTGCTGGTTTATAAAGTGCTGGGTTAAAGAGGGACGACTGTACTCTATGACAAGTAGTATTACACGTCTCTACAAACGTTATGTCCATTCCCAATGTACTAGTGATGTAACGAATAATCGATTATTCGAATTTCCTCGATCTCCTGGATCTCTCGGCAGGAAAAGCGCGAGCTCCCATTTAGGAACCAACACACAATTCCCCAAGTATCGCCAAAGTCGCACCAACCTCTTCTTCACATTGTTATCCCCAGCGCGGGCTTGCGAATTAGATGGTTTGGAGGCAACAACGTTGTGAATGACCAACGGTCCTCAGCGCTTGTTCAGCACCTCCATGAGCGACACTGACTCGCGCTGCTATCTGGTGTTCACAAGGTGTTTGTCGCGCTGGAAACAGAGTGTCTCTAAGTTTTTATCTCTGTGATGTTTGTGCCTGGAGAGCACTATATAAGTGGCGCTCTTCAGGCACAATCTTCCTCAGCCTACTCAAGCTCAACTGACTCGTGAGGGGTGAATTCCCCGAAACACTGTGTATTGAGCAGGGAGTGGTGCTTTCTTGCAGGTTTGCTGAGTGAACGGTTCGGTGGACTTCTCGTGTGCTCTGGATGGCAGTCGTGAGTCAGTCAAGTGAGAATTCAAGTCGGCAGGAAACCGCGAGCTCCCATGCAGGGAGCAACACACAATTCCCCTAGTATCGCCGAAGTCGCACTAACCTCTTCTTCTCTTGGATCTCAGTGAATAATCGAGCGGATAAAATTTAGGTCGAAGGTTTGAAAATTCTAATCTTATCATCACTCTCTTTACCCTGCACGAGGATTACTATGTGTGTGTTGGGGGGGGGGGGGGATGTGTCGGTGACATGTTGTCATGGTCACCAGGTCACTTTTAAGTATTTGGCTGTGGAGGGGGGGGGGAGGGGTGGGGGTGGTTGGGTGTCGGTTGGTATGCGTGTGAATGCTGCTGAACCTGGGTTAGCCAGGATCCTGCATTTCTTTGTGACGTTATCAACCTTGGACAAAGCTGGGGATGCATGTATGTAAATAACTTGGAGCATTAATTGTGTTGTGCTACACATATCTCTTCTGTCTTAGACGAAACACGGCAAGGATAAGGAACGAGACAAGGAAAAGACAACAAAGGCAAAGTCTGATGCCCGGCAGCCACTGGATGACCGGCCAAGCAAGAAGCTCATCTCGTCTGAATTCTCCATGGGCTCTAGCGGCTTGGGCATGGGGGCTACTGGCGGCGGTATGTCACTACCCGGAGGTATTGCACAGCAGCAGCAGCAACAGCACTCCCATCAGCAACTGCCGCCAGCACCTTTCCCCAACAATCCCTTCATGACTCACAACTCGCATGGTCAGCCAACACAGACCGTGGTCGTACCACCGTTGCAGAGCTCAATGATGACGGCAAACAAATCCAGATTGTCTGGCAACCGAGCCGGTGATGGTCGTATTGACGTTGGCGACACGCATCGCTTTCAGATGAGCGGCTATCCATCAGCCAAGCGCCAGCCCAGCCTGACATCGTCCTCTCCTGTGCCGGCGTATATGTCACAGGGCGAAACTATCATGACGCGATCATCCCAGGCGGCTGCAGCCTGCAACGCAAGTATCGCCAGCACAGCGTCTGCTAATGATATCAATCTTGCTCTTCACGGAGAGTTTCCGCCCGACCCTGCCGGGTATGTGGATAACTGCTTTTAGCGGTAGACGCTTTTACTCGGTTGAAGTCTGCCTGGCACGCGTTTCTATAATTTTTATGAACTATCCTCTAGTGAAGCCTAGTGCCATTGCACTCGTCCAGCATCCTCGTATGCATGCATATTGTGTGCAAGAGTAGACACAGTTGAAAAGGGTGAAGGTCTGTTGGGCCTTGTTTATACCATCACAACTTCGTTCTCCCCCCCCCCCCCCACACACACACACTCCCATCCACAGAGAGAGAGGAAACTACACCTGGTCTCCAGTGCGGATCCAAGTTGCATATGATTGCAACAACCGTTAATGTTAGTCAGGGAGTAGATATTTTACTACCCCCTGATGTCAGCCTGCGGTGCATAGTTGGCCATGCTTGAAAAGAGTCAAGGTGCTATCTGTTCTGCACGATGGAGGGTATAGCCGAACACTGCCGACTTGCATGTCTGTCTTCATAGCTTTTCTGTAATTATGTTACCCTCCCTTGGCTTGTGCTACTTGCAGTGCGCTGCTGGGCTATCAACGTCAGCTAGCTGGAGGTCCGCGAGGAGGACATGGACCCCCCGGGGCAGGCGGCCGGACTACACCCAGTAGGGACAAGATCATCCTACCGCAGCTGTCTAAAGATGGTGAGCACACAAACGTGTAAAGAGAGATTTCACATCTCAGTCATCCAATGACCAAATTTATGCAGACAGCAGTGATCATGGCATGTGGACAGTGGAACCAACATGGCCGACATCACGCGACCCATAGATGCAGATATTGAATGGTGTTCAGTGGCGGATCCAGGACTTGGCCGAAGAGGGGGCCCAAGGTATCCGCCCCCCCCAAAAAAAAAACAAACAACAAAACAACAACAAAGTCCTGAAGTTGTGAAGAGCTGTTGTATTTAGGGTCCGGCGGATTCTGCCGGCAGAAAAATTGGCAGAATTCGGTACTTTTTCTGGTAAGTTTCATGGATGTTTGGTATGTGGATAAAAAAAAATGGAGCAGAATTCGAGGAATTGCCCGCCATAAGGTTTGTATGGTTCTGCCAATTTCACTGCTTTTCGAGCAGAATATGCCACCTTTTCGAGCAGAATCCGCCGGTCCCTAGTTTTATTCCATTCTCACGACATTTTCAAACTGCACTGGAACATTTCCACTCGACAGCGGCCACGACGGACCTTTGGACGGCTCTCCAACGCGAGCTCTCTTATCTACCGGTCCACTGAAGAACGACCTGATGTCAGACCCTTTCCTCTTCATCTCATATCTGAAAGTAACCCATTGGCTACAAGCGAAGTAGAGAGAGCGTTTACTTTTAGTTTCTGACAAGTGAAAAAGAAAAAAAGGAAGGACGAAGTCGACAGCACCGTGCACCATTACAGGACTTCAGCCCAACGCGATCGCTGCACTATGTACCAGGCCCTGCATTTTTGGCACGTTTTTCACATGTTTGAAGTGCGGCCGTGTCCTCAGGTCACAGTGCGTACAGTAGTTGTACACCGGTACACAGCGCGCTGACTAGTACAAACTCAGTGCGTGACACCATGTACCGGAGTGACCGGACACGTATAAAAGTACCCAGCACGCGTGACCCACTTGACACGCCAAGTCATTTCGAGCGCTCATTCTACAGTCTACTGTAATCCTAGACCAAGGTCGAAATTTTCAAAGGGGGGGGGGGGCCAGGCCCCCTGGCCCCCCCCCCCCCCCCTGGATCCGCCACTGGTGTTGGATCCAACATGGCTGTCCCGTATGGCCACAACAGATCTATACCAGTATGCTGTACATGGAGTTTGATTACAAACATGATCATCGGATACTTGATAGTATGATATTACAAACATGATCATCGGATACTTGATAGTATGATATTACAAACATGATCGGATACTTGATAGTATGATAATTATTACAAACATGATCATCGGATACTTGATAGTATGATATTACAAACATGATCGGATACTTGATAGTATGATATTACAAACATGATCATCGGATACTTGATAGTATGATATCGATGTTGTCATTTTTCGGATATTGATTACTGAAACAGATTCATGTTCAGCATTTTTATGTGCAAGGGCAGGCCGTGCTGAATAGAAGCAGCAGCGAGATGGAGATCACCACGTGGCATCTTGCGCTTGCTCATTGTGTGTGTGTGTGCGTGTGTGTGTGTGCGTGCGTGCGTGCGCGTGTGTGTGTGTGTGTGTGTGTGTGTGCGTGTGTGTGTGTGTGTATTTGTACATGTGTGCATGTGCATGACTGTGCTCTTTGGTTTGTACGTATGGTGTATAGATAAACATCGGCATGGTGGCAGCGTCAACCAGCTTCACACAGTGGGCAGTGAGCAGCGTATAGCCCTTGATCCGGCTGCTGATCCTTTCAAGTATGGTGCTCCGTATCGTGGACAGGTATGGCAACACGTTAGCCGGATCTACTCAGAGTAGATCTGACATATGTAGCATCAGATCAGATGTGCTTGTGAAGTGTGATATGGTCGAGTTCTGCTGTGAGAGACCAACGGCAATCTACTCAGGCTGTATACTGTTGTCTTAGCTTTTTTTTAAATAAAATTTATATATCACCCTAACTTAGCAACCAATACCTTATCAACTGTATCCCAAGGAGCTGTTACTATTGTCTGATTGTTCCGTGTGCAGCCCCCTCCTGCATCGCCGTCTCTCGGCTCCAGCAATGGGAAATTCAACTTCATGTGACGGAAGTAGCAGCCGTGGACAGCAGGCCGTGTGCCTTCATTGCAGTTGACATAAGCACAGCGTACCCTCAGGGAGACCGACGAGCTTCATTGCTGATGGATTGAACGTATAGACAATTAGACATGCTTATTTTCAAGGAGTGTGTCTGATAAGATAAGAATTGAACTGTAGCATTCGCCCCTTAGCCTGCATTCTTACAACTCCCATGATTATTTTCAATCCGAATACAGCCCAAGTAGCTTTCTTTCTTACCTGTAACTATGCACCATGCATGCCACATACAATGTATCTGCACTGCAGTCTGTGAAGCACTATGCACATGACTCAGCAGTCTGCAGTGATATGCTCACTCACTGTGTTACATGCTTTGACTTGGACAGCGCTCGCCGTGATCCGTCTGCTCCGTGTTTCCTGTGCTAGCTGAGTTCTAGGTGAGTTTTTTTTTCAGTCTTCTCCGCGCCAACTGTTCAGCCTGTCATGGCGTGCGTGACCTACCAGCCAGGCATGGCGTGCGTGACCTACCAGCCAGGCATGGCGTGCGTGACCTACCAGCCAGGCATGGCGTGCGTGACCTACCAGCCAGGCATGGCGTGCGTGACCTAGCAGCCAGGCATGGCGTGCGTGACCTACCAGCCAGGCATGGCGTGCGTGACCTACCAGCCAGGCATGGCGTGCGTGACCTACCAGCCAGGCATGCAGCAGATCTCACCGTACTGTGTGCTGTGTACCGGCTACGCGCACAGTGTCAAGAATGACTTCTTTGAGTCGGCTTTACCACTTGATTTTCTATTGCTCATGCCTGAATTACCGATCATTGTATGCATAGCTATGTACTAGTACTTGATTTGAATAAACAGTACGCACTGATTTGCCTACATTGTGGTTACCATGGCTGCTGCTGTGTTGGTCATAGTCTGGAAAAGACAGAGCGAAGAGCAATAGAGCATAGCCATACCGAACCTCAGCATCGCAGTTCAATCTTGGAGAGGACACGGCACTGCGCCCACCAGTCAGTGTAAGACACAGGATTCCACACGGGACACCACACATTACACCACACTGGACACCACACGGGCCAAACAGACATTACACCACACGGGACACCACACATTACACCACACGGGGCACCACACGGGCCAAACAGACATTACACCACACGGGCCAAACAGACATTACACCACACGGGCCAAACAGACATTACACCACACGGGATACCACACGGGACACCACACTGTACACCACACATTACACCACACGGGACACCACACTGGCCAAACAGACAACAGCCGCGACACACCGGATTCTAGCTGACATGAACACTGGCAGCACACAGATCACAGCAGAGAACGTATCTTTCAACACAACGGCGACACCAACGACGACAACGACGACAAAAACAACAACAACACCAGGAGCAGCAGCAGCAGCAAAACAGGCAATGTTGAAGAGTTTCACAGGGAAAAGAAGGAACATTATTGTATTGATGGGAAAAATAGGTAGGCAAGTATCATGTACATGATGAGGTTGATTTTTTGATGGTGAGAATATTCAGAGTTTTCAAGTGTTATGGAAGTAGGATGAGTAGGATGATGAGTAGGATGAGTAGGATGGGTAGGATGAGTAGGATGGGGACAACTTGCTTCTCAAATCAATACAGTCCTGAAGTATGATCTCCTGATCTCCGCTGGGAGATGACGAGAAAATGAGTTTTGTAAGCAACACGAGTGCGCACACGCGTGTGTGACGGCGTTAGTTTCATGGCGAGCGGTATACAGTGGTACATGCAGTGCGGAGGACAAACAGGCATGTTGTTGCTATGTACAATATCCTCCACACAGTACAACAACACACAATACAACGATACACAGGATCACAAGGCAAAGGCCAAGGAATCCAGTACAGTATGAGACTGGTGTAGGGCAAAGGCCAATGCCAAGGCCAAGGAATCCAGTACAGTACGAGAGTGGTATAGGGACATTAGCCTAGACTAGATAGCAATACCAGTCACAGTGTCCATGCATAGCAGAGGTATAGGATATAGGATATAGGATATAGGGTATAGGGTATATGTATAGAGAGTATGTACATGTCACAGCACTGGTTGCGCCACAGTACGGACAACTCATCAATGTTCTGCAAGTAAAGTGCCGCCTGGTGCTCCGCACTGCCTAGCTGAACTGTGCCTCCTCATTGACATCAACCAGTGCCTGGGTAACGTTTCTACACATTTGTACAAGTCACTCGGGAGCACAGTCGCAGAGCTCTGCAGTCACTCGGGAGCACAGTCGCAGAGCTCTGCAGTCACTCGGGAGCACAGTCGCAGAGCTCTGCAGCAGTACCGTACGAGTGTTTTCTATTCTAAACACTTGGCCATACTGTGGTGCTACGCCGAGGTATTACCAGCCGGGTTGAATGGTGCTACGGCCGCTGCTGGTGGAG